ACTGCCCTTTGATGAAAAATACTGTTACTACTCATCATATGTGTAGTAGTTCTCTGTTAATGCAATTCACCAGCTTCAGTAATGTTGCTGTAGTTTAATTGCTCAGACATGGGCACCTGTGGAGAATGCTACACTTGCTGCTTAGTTTGATTCCATACTAGATCTGCTTACCAGCCACTCAGCACAAAGTGGGTGTTTAGAGTACGCCAAGGGAGGGGCAGGCCATAGCTAGTGTGTCTGCCATTGTGTGTCTCCAGGGACCACAGACCCTCATATAGGAGGGGTTGCAGACACTATTCCAACCCAGGCCATGAAGGGGATCAAAAACTGTTCTACAGCATGCGCACATATGGGGGGAGTGGATTCTTTCCCTTTCCGGCCACCATATAGCTCCTCCCACAAAACCAATCTACTTGAGGTGTATGAATTTTACTCACAGTGAACAACTAGCGGAGCTGTGTGTCTTTATAATTAAAAGAACACAGAAAGTGAAAGGAGAGAGAGAAAGGTATTGAGGACTTTGTTCCATTTCGTATTAACCACATTTTAAACTATCAATAGATTCAAAGATCTGTCTGTAATATATGTGTGCAGTGTTGGTCCCAGGATATTACCTCACCCACCTCGTCTCTGTAATATATGTAGGCAGATATTTATTGGTCAATGGATGACCTCTGCTGGTGTGCAAAAAATCTGTTTTAGCTAATATATAAATTTGATACAAAGAAATCCTTTAACAATAATAGTAAAATTTCTTTCATGCTTTCATCATGAAAAATGCTGATGTTTTTTCATTACATATTTTGAAATTTTATATCACTTTTTATGTGTGACATGACTGTTTCATGAAAATCCAGTGAGTGCCTTTGCTTATTTCATTGTGATTAAATCCATCTCTCTGCATATCTCTCTAAATATATGGGTATGTCTATACTATAATAGCCTATATGAATATATGCAATAATATCATACAGAAGGGTAAGGGCTTGGTCTGTAAGTATAATTTCGTCGTGTTCAAACTTGCCTTTGGCACAAATTCTTGAGCTCAGTTTTATCTAAGGCCTTACACTGTGCCATCAACATAATATCTAAGACCTCACAAGATTTTAAATACTAAACACAAAATCTCTCTCTTCCATTCCCAATAGGTAGGAGTAGTTTGCTTGGATTTTAATGTCCTCAAAATGATTAAGGAAGGCTAATCTGCAGCAATGGGATTTGCATTTAGTTCTGAAACTGCTGAGGTTCTCTCTTGTGATAGGAAGTTCCCCACTCATGGTCCAGTTGCTGGGAAATTCTGTCTGTTACATTCATGTGTCTCTTCTAGTTGTAAACAGTTCCATTCTCTCATTGTAATGTAGCTGTGATGGGATTTTATGGTCACAGCGGGAGAGTGCTCCTTCAGGTGGACATGGATAGGGAGGGCTTTGATTATAAAGGTATTTCCCCAACATCCTCTGTGATAAAGACTGATGTAGAAAAATCATTTAACTTCTCTACAAAGTTCTTATTTGTTCCCTTTACTTCTTGGGGGAACCACCACTTTTCTTGCAGGTTTCCTGCTTCTGATATATTTAACCCACTTATTGTTAGTTGTTTTTATGACATCGGTTGATTTCTCTTCAAGATCCTGCTGAACCTTGCTAATTTATATTTTAATTGTCACAATTTATGCTTCTTTCTGTAGCTTCCAGTAACAAATTCTGAAAGACACTTCTTTGGTTCAAATACCCACTTTGCCATATCTCCTTTCTTATCTTCCTGTTTTCTTTTTAGTTGAGGGTGTGCATACTTTAAGTATCAGAGGGGTAGCCGTGTTAGTCTGAATCTGTAAAAAGCAACAGAGGGTCCTGTGGCACCTTTAAGACTAACAGAAGTATTGGGAGCATAAGCTTTTGTGGGTAAGAACCTCACTTCTTCAGATGCAAGATGTCTT